TTCTTTTAATCTGCAGAAATCTACAGCTATCTGTTAAACAACGTAAATATTCTGCCTGTTTGCCTTTTTTTTTTTTTTTTCTCTCATTTCTTTTTCTTTCATCGTGTGTTTTCGTTGTTAATTGCTCTTAAGGAAGGGAATCGTTTGCCCGGTGAGCGGCGCGTTGCTTTCTGTGACCTCCGAGCTGGTCGTGCAGAACGTTATTTTCCTTCCTGATGGCTGCATGTCTCAAAATGGAGCGGGGGAAAAAAAGAAATGCACCTATCTTTTATGTCTTCTAAAGGGAGGGTGTGTGTCAGAGAGGACATTTTAGGGATATTTTCAGATTATCTATGACATTATTTATGCTTTGCTTAAATCAGGCGAATTGGAAATTTGTTTCTGTGTGTGTGTGTGTGTGTGTGTGTATATATATATCTATATATATTTACTGCTGCTGGTTTTGGCGTTTCATGCCATCTTTCATGAACAGCCTGTTCTGGTATTAAATGGGGAGGTTGGTGGCTCTGCCCTGTGGCAGAGAGATTGGAGATTCATGATCCTCGAGGTCCCTTCCAACCCTGGCCATTCTGTGACTCTGTGAACAAGAAACCTCTATTTCACAGCTTTTCAAAATCTAACATTAAGGTGCTGGATTTTCCAGTTCTTGAGAAATATGTGCAACATATTCAGAGGCTTTAAGCCGAGAAAACTTTCCTCATCTATTTCTGCTCTTTAGTTTGGTTTCGTTTTTGGCATAACTCTGAACATCGCCCTTTTTCCCGATGGCAAACCTTCTCACTTCCACGCCACTTTTCCGTCGCACCCTTCAGGAATGCCCCCGTGCTCCTTTCTCTACCTACTGACTGCTGACCGGGTGCGGTCCCTTTAGTTTCTCCTTTTTAGGGCTTTACTCAACCCCTGAGCTCATTACCAAAATATTTGTTAAAACATGAAATAATTCAAGAAAATCTTTTGAAAGATGTCGATCTTCAGGTTTTTGTTTTGGTTTGTTTTTGTTTTTTTTTTTTTTTGTTTTTTATTTATTTGTTGCTTTTTAATTATTTACCTATTTAATTTTATTTCTGTGTTACTGTGTGAGGACGGCGCTTTTTCTCCCTGGCAGTTTTACCTTTTAGAGCAGGCTGGGTTTTCTGAGCTTCAGACACGACGTAAGGCTGCTGCTTTTGGTGCACCTCCTCCATTTCGTGCGCCATTTCAGATTCCTATGCTGTTCTATAGCACCGTAATGTAAAACTGAGTCGGTGTTCAGTGTTACAGATCTGGAGCAAAGATTTCAAAGAGAAAAAGGAGAAATGGAAGCTATGTGATCTATTTTATGCGGATTAATTTCCTTGTCCTTTAGAAACACATCTTTGCAATAAAGTTGTTCTGGGGAGAGAAGCTGACTTCTCCTTATCCCCAGGTTGGAAGTATAACATCAGGACTGTTTTCAAAACACAGCCACACAAACTCGGCTATTATTTCCTCTACTCCTGGTATGACTGTGTGTTGTTACATTTTGATTAATTGCAGGTCGTTCGTTCGTAGTAGAATTGTGCAAAAGAGGACTTGCTGTTTGGGGGAAGTACCATGTGATTTCTAGTATGCCAGTCGTGCACCTCTGTGCACGTTGCTGGTCAAGCAGCTTCTCACACTGTTGGGTCTGTAATCCTGCACCTGCCGTTTGGTGCCATCCTGACAGGTTTCATAGGATGATAGACTGGCCTGGGTTGAAAAGGACCACAATTCTCATCTAGTTTCAACCCCCTGCTGTGTGCAGGATCGCCAACCAGCAGACTAGAGCCACATCCAGCCTGGCCTTGAATGCCTGCAGGGATGGGGCATCCACAGCCTCCTTGGGCAACCTGTGCCAGTGCCTCACCACCCTCTGGCTGAAAAAACTTCTTTTAGCTTGGATGGGGATGCAGATGCTGTCTGGCTCAGCTGGTAACTTCTTAATGTACAAATCTGCTGATTTTTGGGTGCAGATTTCTGTATTTCCCTGTAGTTTCTCTCTTCATGCCTATTACCACGCACAGAGCACGCAAGGGTGGCACTTTGCCTGTGGTGTGGGTGAAACTTTCACCTTCGTTTATCTGACTTCTCGGACTTGTTTAAGAAATGCACATTTCAGCCGTGCTTGTTGATTTTTGGTAACTGATTTTACGGCTGCCAGATCAGCACTGCTGCTCGCGGGCGCTGGGCAAGGGGCCGGAAAGCCTCAACTGATGGAACATCCACCATCCCCGATGGGCCTGAGCAGAAAGGAGGAAAAAAAAGATAGGATGAAAGAAAAGAGAGAAAGCGAGGGAGAGAGCAGTGTTTCTATACATGTATATAGAAAGAAAATGGAGACGGTGAATCCTCTCCAAAGAATGGAGACTTGGAGGGATGGCTTACCACGGGGACTCGGCAGGAGCCCACTCACACCGTGGCGGCCAGGCTTTACACGTGGCGAGGCTTTTTCCTTTTTTTTTTTTTTTTTTTTTTTTTTGCCTTTTTTTTTTTCCCCTTTATTTTTTCTTTTTTTCTTTTTTTTTTTTTCTTTTTTTTTTTTTCTTTTTTCTTTTTCTTTCACCCTCCCCCCCCCTTTCTTTTTTCCACACTCGTCCCCGTGACTGTCTCTTTTCCCCGGCGTGAGCAGAAATGCAGGCCCGGAGGCTTTAGAGATATTTCCCCAGTTTCAGATGGCAAAAGAGGGTCTCTGTAGTTTTGCACAAAGCAGCTTAGGTCACTGCATTATAATTGTGTGTGCAAGGAAAAATAAAACAGCTGCTGGTTGTGATGAGGATATGGGGAGTATCTTGCAAAATGCTCTCAGAGCACCCTGAGGGGAATCCACAGCCGTCTCCATTTGGGTGTGGAGCCGCGTGGACAAAGGTGGAAGAGAAGGACTGCCTAAATAATTGCCTGAAAGTGTCTAAAACAAATAATAATAATAATTAAAAAAAAAAAAAAAAAAAAAAAAAAAAGATGGAATCAGGAAACTTAGGTCGAAGAAAAAAAGAAAAAAACCAAGCACCTTCCTTATTTTGTTTTCAACACACGCTAATTTCTCCGGAGTTTATCAGAGCGTCGGCGGTACCTCCGGATCGCTCCCCTCCCGCAGAAGCCTCCCGTCTCCTCCTTCCCTTTCCTTCCTCCGGGTTTCTGCATTTGAGGGCGACGGGACGAGTCCTGCTCCGAGCGGGGCTGGGCGAGGCGGTCTGCGCAGTCCTCGGGGCCGGGTCTCCTGCGTAGCCGGGTGTCCCGCAGCGGAGCCTCCCGGTACCGAAGGAAGGGCGGGGGAAAAGCTCAGGGAGCGCGGCTCTGAATCATTTGTGGGGGACCCTCGCAGCGGGTCGGAGCGGCTGGGTCGGGCTCGCCCGGCTGGATCTCTCCGCGGTTTTCCTGCCTACCCGAGGCTCCTACGCGTGCCGGGGCGAAGCAGCTCCCTGCTGCCGGGCACAAGGAGAACGATCGCGGGCTTCCTGCGGGGCACGGCTCTCTTCCTCATCCGGGCTGTCCGCACCCGCCGGCGGCCGGCCGAAACGGCAGACCCCGGATCCAACTGTCGGTGGGCGAGGAGCAGAGCAGCCCCGTTCCCCAGGGACAGCAGGGTAGCCGCTCCCGTTCCGCAGCCTCCCTCTGCCTCGGGAGGCCTCCGCCTATACCACCTCCAGCGCGGGGCAGGAGCGGGCCGCGTTCCGCCTGCCCGAGCCGCGGGAGGACGGAGGGGAGGCAGCCCCCAGCAGCGAGGAGGAGGATCCCCGTAGACGGGAACGTGGAGCCTCGTGCCCTACCCTCTCCTTCCTCGGCGGTGCCCCCGAGGTGCCGCAGCCCCCGCCGAGCTCTCGGTGGGGCTGAACTTCTGCGCGGATTCAGCGCAGCAGTCAGAGACGCGCCCCGGCGCTGAGGCCCCGCAGTGGAGAGGAGCGGAGCGCTGCGGGACGTGGATGGACGGGCGGCCGCTCGCGGGGACATCGTGGGCGTGCGGGCTCTGCTGGAGGCGGTGAGCACCCGACCGGGTCCAAATCCTTCGGGATAACCCCGCTGCAGATGGGGGCTGCCCAGAGACGCGGCGGCGGTGGGCCGGCAGGAGAGACTTGAGGGCGCCGCGATTTCTCTCATTACTATTTTCTGTGCTATTATTACCGGGATTGCCTCGAGGTTATGCCTGAATTCAAGCGTGCGGTTTTCACAGCCACCTCCTTCGCTCGTAGGCACAGCTGGGGTTTAGGGGGCACTGCTGGCATCAAACGAGTTGTACCACACGGTACTGAAAATGAGGAGTGGGCTCCTAAAACCCACCTCCGCAGTGTTTGGGGAGTTGGCATCACTTCGATGCTTCGATGCTTTCAAGAACATCTTTTTCTTTCCCAAAAGAGGTCAGAGTTGTGCCTGTCTGCCACAAAAGGGAGTAAAGGAAATTCTGTCTGAAAACGAGGAAAAACGTCTTTATTATGTGGTTGGCAGAGCACCAGAGCAGGCTGAGCGGAGAGGATCTTCGATCTCCTCCTCTGGAGACAATAGAAGCCCTTCTGGATGCTTTTCTGTGCAACCCAGTGTAGGGAATAGCAGGGTTTGGAGAAGCCGGTCTGCAAAGGTGATTTGCAACCCCTCCGACTCTGCGACACCGTGATTCTTCAGTAATATTTTCCCTAGAAAAAACAGCACAAGAGATCACGCAGAAATCGTCCCAGAGCCGATTTTTTTTCCTTGCAACAAGACACTGCCAGTAGACTGTCTTATTAGCACTTCTGCTGTTCAGTATTTATCTGCAAAAGCGACGTTCATCCTTAGGAGCTGCGAGCATCGCTGCGCAATGGACTTCCTTTCTGAGGATTTCGAGGCAGCGCTTACCGAGGTACTTAAACCGAACCTTTTAAATGTTTATTGAACTACGAATCGCTGCGATTCAAACTGCAGCTGTGTGCTTCGTGAATAAAAAAAAGCTTCCTCGAGTTCTCATCAGCTAAGCTGAGCAGCCAGATTGGTCCTTATACTTTAATATGACAGGAAATATTTTACTAAACTAGATTGCAGATGGGAAGAGACAGTGAGCACCGATACAATTATTCGTTTTGTGTTTACTCTGTGTTCAAATTCCAGAATGAAAAAGGTCTCTCACTCTCTCACTATTTTTTTTTTTTTTTTTTTTGTACTGTTTTCCTCTCATTCTCCCCCCATTTCAGAGTGAGACATCATAGATCTGTTTTCCTCAGAGCAGCCTTGCTGCCGGGCTGACATGTGGGATCTGTGTTTCTGAAAAACTTAATCTGAACGGGAACTTGTTAGTGACGAGAACTGCAAGCGTTTCAGCTCTTGTGTTATGAATAAAACAAAATATCTGTGTGAGCATCACACCAGTTTGAGAAGACAATAATGTGAGTAGCAATCGCCTCTAGATGTTTTCCCCAGTGTTAAAACTCTGTTTACTGAGGTCAGCCTCGAGAATCCACCAGGAGAATTAAAGAATTAAAACCTCGAGGGCTGTTAATTTTTTTCTTTTGCTCAGCACGATCGGACCTTGCCAGGAGTATTTGCCGTTGCAGAGCGACTTCAGCAGCAGGGAGGTTTTGTGCATTACTCAGCAGCTCTCCTGGCCCGTTCGAAAAGGAGCAGACGCTGAGCTACGGCTGAGAGAGCAAAAGAGCTCAGTGCGAAGGGTGGGAGGGAAAGGAGCGCCCGATGCCAGGGAGATCTGCTCAGCGCTGCGCGTTCCGACCGCGCGGCGTGGGCTGCAGAACCGCCTTCCTCGTTGGTAAATGTGTGTTATTCTGACGTGTGTGTGTGTGTGCAAACGGTGTGCATGCACACACATACGTATACAGCTTTTATACGTGGTATTTTATGTATACGCTGTTGTGTTACATTGTTATGCTGTGTTGTTGAACGTTTTAGACTCAGGCCATTCTGTGGTTCTATCGTAGAATCACAGAATCATAGAATGTAGGTGGAAAAGGACCGCAATAATCATCTAGTTTCAACTCCCCTGCCATGTGCAGAGTCGCCAACCAGCAGACCAGGCTGCCCAGAGCCACATCCAGCCTGTGAGTGAAAAACTTTATAGCTAACCTAACCTTCTAATGTCTTAGTTTAAAACCATTCCCCCTTGACTATGTCCTAATATTCTATGATTCATTACGTTCGATCATATTCTATTGTACTGCTGATACATGAGTATCACGTACCATAATTTATGCTACATACTAAGTAACACGTAATATATGGTTTGATTATACGATATAAGATCAAATTTATTACAGTGTGCATCAGCGCCTACTGAGATACTGCAACACCCAGTCGGCAAACCGCGCACAGCCCATCGCTCGTTGAACGCGGTGTGTGCGGGCTGCGTGCGGCTGACGCTGTGTCCGTCCTTCCCCCCGCAGGTGATGATGCTGGGCAGCCCGCGGGTGGCCGAGCTGCTGCTGCAGCGCGGCGCCGACCCCAGCCGGCCCGACCCGCGCACCGGCTGCCGCCCCGCACACGACGCGGCCCGCGCCGGCTTCCTGGACGCGCTGGAGGATCTGCACCGCGCCGGGGCGCGCCTCGACCTGCCCGACGGCTGCGGCCGCCTCCCCCTCGACGTGGCGGCCGAGGGTCCGCACGGCGCTGTCGCCTGCTACCTGAGGCGGCCGCAAGCGCCGGCAGGTCCGACAGCCGCCGAGTCCGGGCGGGGCGCGCTCCGCGAGCCTCCAAGGAAACGCGCTAGAAGGCACCGCACTGCCATGAGCGGCCCGACGGTCCTTTCCTCCCTCCTCCCCTACACCCCTTCACGCAGCGCCGCAAACAGATCGCCGGCGCTGGAGGATGGAGAGCATCCAACGTTCCGTCGTTTTCCCGCATCCGACGATCGTTCCCGTTTGGAGAAGTGAAAGAGCCGCTCCGTTCCGCTCCGCGCTTCGCTTGCTGCCCCGCTGTGTTAATCTCGGTCCGATGCTCGCCCTATTCTTGGCTGGGCTGATTTTATTCATTATCACACGTCCCCGTAGAGCTTTGCAGTTTTCCTGCCGCTTTAGATGCTTTCATATAGCCTTTCGAAACAGCGAGCGCTTCGGCCATCCCGCTTACAAATTTAATTCATATTCTGTTCTCCCTTCACCTCCTCGCTCAGCTGGGAAAATCTTAAAAAGTTTAACACTGACAGAAATTAAATTATGGGAGGTACTACAAAAATGCTTTATTCAGAATTATTCAGGAAGATCTGCTTCTGTCTGAAATCAGTTGGAGCTGCTTAGTTACTGTGAAGTTTTAACATTTGGAAATCCTTGATCCAAAAGTTCTGTGCAACGAAGTTGTCGTTTTTAGGACATAATCCGGGGTCTCTAAGCCAGACATTGGAAAAACAAAAACAAACGACCTCGTTCGTTTGTAATTCCGATTCCTTTCTCACACATTGCCTTCATTTTGTTGTATGTGTTTTCCATGGTCTTCCCTGGGTTCACACCATTATGTGCGGAGGCACCTGATTCAACAACGTACTGTGAAGTGGAAGGTGCCAAAGGTGGCCGCTGTGCTTCTCTATTAAACTGCTGCACTGCCCAACACTGCGCACTGTTATTTGTTTCAACTTCGTTCGTCTCTCAGATATTTTTGCCCTTCAGTGCATGCATACACACAGCAAATTCAGGGGCGTGGGACACGACGGGTTTAAGTGTGGGTCTGCATTATTCACACACGCACCCGAGATAAAAGAACGCTCATAAAAGTTGGTGATTGCCTCCTTCAAAAAAGAGCTACTGAACAACAGGAAAGCTCTGCCCTGCCTTATTCCTTCACTTCACTGATTTCACATCTCTTTAAAAGCAGAAGCATTTTAAAAAATGTACTGCTATAGAATTTACTCTGTAGACTTAGGCAGCATGACCGTGCACCGTGTCCGGAAGCCGGTTTTGTTTTTCAATTCCTGAAGATTAAGTGTTATTTCTCTCACCTGGATTTAGGAGGACAGACCACGAGATTTTCGCTTACCAAGAAATGGCTTAGCTTTCTGTTGCTTATTTATTTATTTTTATATATTGAGAAGAAAATGGAGCAGCGTTTGATTCCTGCCTCTTAGGGGACAAAGGCGGAGCGGGAGAGGCAACTTCAGCCTGTCTGCGTCCCTGCGGGGATGCGCAGGGGAGGGAAGAAAGATGGGAAGGGAAGGGAAGGGAAGGGAAGGGAAGGGAAGGGAAGGGAAGGGAATACTCACACCCCTCTGAGAGGTCCTCCTCACAACTGCCTTCTGACTGTCCTGTCATGTACAAATGAAACAACACACACTTCTTTTTCACTGACTAGATATTTTCTATTTGTGGCTGCCTGGGTCAAGCTTTATTAACAAAAATTAGCTGACAGTTCATCAGGTGTAATGCCACCAGGGAAAATAGATTGTATTCTCTAATGAATTCTGAAAATGTACTCTCTGAAATCATGAATTCTAAGTTTTGCAACACAATTCCACTTAAATTCACCCACATTTGCCATTTTTTTTTTTTTAAATTTATTTTTTCCTCTGAGTGTCTGTAAGCTTTGGCAGATTTTGTTGACTACCTGAGTGCTTCACAGATAAAACATAAATAATTTTAGGAAAGCAAGTTGTCACCTGATCTTGCTTGTGAGATACAGAGTCCCCAGCACCTACTAAACTAGAAACTGATCTTCAAGTTTTATGAGGAGAGTGGAAATCCTCAGAGCTTTCATAGAAGAAAACAAGGAATTCGGAGATGAAAAAAGTAACTCACATTCCACAGGGCTGTGCTGACCTTTGAAGACATTCATACCTTACAAGAGGTCCACTGGAATAATAACAGATAATCTATCTCATGGGTCTACCTTTCTGGTTTGTTTATTTATATTCAGGTCTCCATCAGTTCTCACTGCTCTACCACCCACTGGACCAATCTCTTTCTCTCTCTCTCTCTCTCTCTCTCCCTCCCTCTCTCTCTCTCTCTCTCTCTTTCTCTTTCTCTTTCTCTTTCTCTTTCTCTTTCTCTTTCTCT